AGTGAGTGTGTTCGAGTGTGAGTGTGTGAATGTGTGTGTGAGTGTGAGTGTGCGAGTGCGCGTGCGTGTGTGTGTGTGTGTGTGACGCAGCTGTGTGCTGAACATGTGTATCTGCTCACAGAAGGAGTATCGTAAGGAGTACGAGAGCCAGATTAGAGGGAAGGTTCTGCTGGAGGTGGATCTGACGCCGGCGTATCTGACGGCTCGTAATGCCAGCAGCCTTGTTAGTGAGGTGATGATGTGTGACAAGCAAGAGATTCAGCAGAGACATCAAAATCACAGAAATTATTTGAAATAGTTTAGTTAGTGATTAACACTGATGTGCATAGAATGACAGAACCTGTTTGGTTTCTTCATGTCTGAGTGTGTTACTGTGTGTGTGTGTGTGTGTGTGTCGAACAGAAGGAGTATCGTAAGGATCTGGAACAGGAAGTGAAAGGGAAAGGCCTGACGGGTCTGGAGGAAACACCGGATCTGCTGCGGGTGAAAAATGCTGGACACATCCTGAGTGAGGTACACACACACTTTAACTCACACACACATACAGTCCCACACACACACACACACAATCAAATAAACACACACACACATACTCTCTCTCTCACACACACACACTCACACACACACACTCACACACACACACACTCTCACTCACTCACACACACTCTCACTCGCACACACACACACACACGCGCTTGACCTTCATCGTGGCGTGTTTCTGCTCCTGCAGAAGGAGTATCGTAAGGATCTGGAGCGTGAGATCAGAGGGAAGGGAACGGACGTCACAGCAGACAGTCTGGACATCCAGAGAGTGAAGAAAGCGTCTGAGATCAGCAGCGATGTGAGTGACGGATCAAACACACACACACACACACACTCACGTGATAAAAGACACATGGACTGACCGTGTGTGTGTGTGTGTGTGTGTTTCAGGTGTCGTACAGACAGGCGTCTCAGCACAGAGAATCATCATACGGTACAGTGACAGACACACCTGCGCTGCTGCACGCCGCTTACCTGAGAGACGTCTACAGTCAGGTCACATGACACACACACCTGTCCGTCTGTCCGCAGCACCTGTTAGAGGACTAGAGCTGGTGTTCACGTGTGTGTGTGTGTGTGTGTGCAGAAGAAGTACCGCGGTGACATGGAGCGTCTGAAGAGCTCGTGTTCTGCTGCTTCAGACACACCAGAGATCCAGAGAGTGAAGAACAACCAGCGCAACATCAGCGCAGTGAGACACACACACACACACACACACACTGATCATGCTGTTCATCACATGACCGTGTACTGGACACGCGTGTGTGTGTGTTGTGTGTGTGTGTGTGTGTGTGTGTGCAGCTCTTCTACACGTGGGACTCGCGGCTGATGAAGGGTCTGAGGTCAGCGATCACTGACACTCCAGAGATCAATCTGGCTCGAGAAAACACCAAGAACGTCAGTGACGTGAGTAACATGCGGTGTGAGTTTGATCACGGGACACGCTCTCATGTATCCACCTTATTTTTCAACACGTAAGTAAGCTGTTTTCAGTGAATGTGTGAGACTTCCGGTTCATTAGCCGCTGCAGGGAAATAACGAGAAGAATAACAAAGTGCAGTAAACTGATAACACTACAAACCAGTGTGTTCATAATTAAGATAATACATTACCATAAATAATGTGGTAAGACACACCAGTTTGCAATATTGTGTGTAACAATAGCTGGAAGCGAATGAAACCAGAAGCCAGACACATTACATTTACAGTTAAGGTGGATAATGTGTGCATCTGTCTCCTCCCCAGTATAACCATACATGGAGCTTATAACACCTCAAATTACTATGACCTCATCTACATATCATTTGCATATGCATATTCCCATCAGTGTGATGTTAACAGTTGCCTATAATACACAGGACATTCAGAGATCTGTACTGCCGTCACATCACACTGCTAAAATCATTCCATGTCTTGTTTTAGAATAAAAGTATCCAAAAATCCATAAAGCAAAGTACATTTGCCCAAATTGTATCAGATACTTTTTAGAGGATAATTATTCTCATTCATTCTCATTGGGAAAATGTTTTCATTGTTTTAAACAAACCAAATTTATGCTGTTTTGTCCAAAAAATGCCAGCATATTTTGGGATGTTTAGGTATTTTGACTGGAAACACGCACACGCGTGAGCTGGTGTCCGTGATCTTCCGCAGGTTCAGTACAGGGAGTCTGTCGGATCCGGAACGGCCGTGACTGACACTCCTGAGATGGAGCGCGTGCGCAGGAACCAGCGCAACATCAGCGACGTGAGTCTGTCTGTGTGATTGACACCTGTCAGTCATCTGAGTCTGATTCACATCTTCATCATCATCATCCTCCTCCTCCTGCAGGCCAAATATAAGAAAGCGGTTGATCCGGTCAGTGTGGGAGTGACACCAGAGCTGGAGCGGGTCAAACAGAACCAGCAGAACATCAGCACGGCATGAACACACACACACACTC